TATCCAAAAAAGTTCAAGTTTGATATCATGGGGACTTTATTATTTTTTTGTGGTTAATTTTAGATGTAATAATATTAAATAATTTATCTATGTTTGAATTAATAAATAATACACTATTAATAAATATGTATTTATTTTTGTGATTTAATTATAATAATAAAATGAATCATAATAGAGAATTTCTGTACCATATGGAACTACAAAGGAATAGAATAGAATGCAACGTTTTCAAGACATGCTCATGGCATTAGATGCTGAAAAACAGCGAGACACAATGCAACAGCATATGCAAACAATTAAAAAAAATCTAAAAAGCATCCTTGGTGAAATGCCCCTAAGTCTGCTAAATGTATTGTTGTTGACTGTAGACCAGTGAGAGACATATCATGATCAATGATATGAAAATATAGCAAACAATATATTGACTTTCTGTCTATTCCATTTTTTACTTGTCTTAAGAATTCATTAAATGAATGCAAACAATCGTGTAATTAATTTGATTAAAACTTTTATTGTATAAAATCCAAATTATAGCATAATACATTTTTATTCACTATTATCAAATCAGTACATAAAAATATCTAAAATCACATTTTTGTGTCTTTTCCTTTTTAGAAACAATGAGCGATTCAGAGAACGAAGAGTGCACAGAGTCGTCGAAAAGTGAGTGATGAGCAAGAAAGAAACAGAAAGAAAGAAAGTAAACAGAATGACAGACAGCAGACGCCTCACACAATAGGAAACCGTCTCAGTATGGAGGCTGATGGCAATCAAACACATGCTGGCCGGGTATTACGAGATATCTGTGTGTGTGTGTACGCGCACTAAAATCACATTTAACAAGTGACAGTGACGCACACACACACCTTGAGGCTTTAAGTCTCCTGCACACACTGAGAGGGAACGACAGACGCAGTTTCTGCAGTGAAGCTCAGCTGTACAGGGGAGTGGAAGAAATAAAGAGGTGAGTGAAATAGAGAAAGACAGTCTGAGCTCATACTGTAAATCTATCCTTGTGTGACCGTATTTATGGTCGGCGACAGCAAACCGGCTCCAGCTGTCGATACACGCAAGTCTAACGTGATTAACTAATCAATGCGTACAGTGGTCTGAACCTCTGTGGTAAACCCAGCACCACTATATCAAGATACATATCAAGAAAACGTCTGTTCTGTCAAACCACACAAAACTGACGAATCCATCAGCTAAATTACAGCATGCCACATCTCAGGGCCCAAACCAACAATCTAGACAATTTACTCAACAAAACCATACACAAACAAAACCCTTGAACCCATTTAAAACAGTGAATGAGTGCGTTTCAGCACTCGCATCTCAAGAATGACATGCAAAGGAATAAAAAGAAGCCATTAATGCTATATTTAAGTATTTTTCTGACAGTGAATACGCTGGTATTTGCTATATAGACTCTCAGCACGCTCTGTTATTTGCTGCATTGAGGGTTTTGTCAAATGTGGGTCAGAGCTCCGTATCTATTCACTATTGGTGACACGTCACATCAAAGCATGACGGTGGTATTTAAAGAACCGGGTCGGATGGGCCCGTCTGATTGACACTGAGGAGAAACGGAAGACAATCCGAGAGCCCCGGGAGGAAGGAGTTCACTGCAGGGACGTGATGCTGAGACGGTCCTCGATGCTAAATCACAGCGCTCAGCTCCTTTAATGAAAATTGGCTACAACATCATCATAAAAGCCGTGTGCGAGTGGAGCTCACGCACACACACACACACATACACACGCGCGCTCTCTCTGATTCTGTCGCTTGGCTTGAATCTTACAGTCGAGGCGAGAGAGTCCAACACCATCTGCCGTCACTGTGTTTGCCTTTCCAAATCCTGGTTATCAACAAAACACACACGCGACCCTGAAAAGACCCTAAAAGTCCCCTCATATGTGAAGAAAACATGCCCGTAGGGAAGATTACCTTTTTGTTAACCGGCCCCGTGTGGTTTATTTAACCAGTGTTCTTACGATTCCTCTTTGATTTGCTCAAAATGGCAGTGTAATTAGACTGTCCCTGGGTATGTCCTTGGCTGGGATACATCTGAGTGCATTATGGCATATTTTTCTCCATGCAATTAGTATATGCGCTGACAAAGCCCTGTTCACTTGTGTGTATTAAGCATCCCAAAACATTTCTTAACTTGTGCAGCTTGTGCTTTTCACAACAACAAAAAAAACTAATTTGGGTAAAAGCAAGTATGAGACGAAAGCATTATGCCAGGCATGTTTTTCCCAGACCTGTCAGCAGCTGTCGCTGGCAAATGAGTCGAAGCTGCCAAAGTCCAGAGTTGCGCATGCGTACCTTTTCCCAAACACACCTGGGCACACGGCTGGCACGCACTGGCACATGCGCGTTTCTGCCGAAAGGCCTTCAGTGCACCCTATTCAATGTGGATGACGTGTTTCCGCGGTTATTAACATTGTAAAGCTTTTTATATTTTTATTTTCAAAAAAAGGTACATTTATAAGACTGTTTTATTACCTTGGCATTAAATTCTAATGCAACGGATGAAGGAGTGATATCCAATTTGACATTTTTTCTCAAAAGTTCCAAAAGAGGTGTTTTCACATTGATGCCCTAGAACAGGGGTAGGCAAGTTCGGTCCTAGAGAGCCGCTGTCTTGCAGAATTTAGTTCCAACCTTAATCAAACACACCTGAACAAGCTAATCAATGTCTTCAGGATTACTAAGGCTATAGGCAGGAGAGGTTTTTTTCAGTGTTGGAGCCAAACTCTGCAGGACAGCGGCTCTCTAGGACCGAACTTGCCTACCCCTGCCCTAGAAGAACCATTTCTGGTTCCCCAAAGAACCTTTTACTGAGTGGTTCTTAAAAGAACCATTTAAAAAAATGAAAGAATCTTTTTGCACTTTAAAGAACCTTCTGTGGAATTGAAAGGTTCCATTGATGTCAAAGGTTCTTGATGGAACTTTAGATGCCAATAAAGAGTGTTCTGACCACCATAATCAAGCTCTGGAGATTTTTTTTTGCTATTGGAGCAAAAGAACTCAAAAATGCTGTATTTTCAATTCGCCCGATAATGACGACTTCTGCTTCCGAGAACTACGGGTCCATCTGAGATTTTGTATGTTTGCACACATTTTTCCACCTCAGGTCGCCTCTTAAAAACATATTCAAGCAGCCAAGTCTTTATGCAAATACACTGTGGAAATTAAGTCTTTTTGCCACTTGATCTCCATCAGGGGGTCCCTTTGCATTTGGTGCGGCTGATATACGACCCGACCCCCAGGGATACACACAGCACGAGCGAGCACATCAAATCTGCAATCATTAACACAGCTAATAAATAAACCTGTCGATCAGCGCGCGCATTACAGCGTGTTCTCATGGCACCAGGGTGCGACAAACACCACTCATGATGATGAATGCCACTTGGGCTACAAAGCACTTGCACTAGACAATTGCAATATTGCGCCGTGTCGTCCCAGGTGGGGAAAGAAAGTCAGATCCCTCAAATGTTGGTTGCTGTGCTACGGGAACTCCATGGAGCTGCCCTTTACCAGCCTAATCTGTCTCTGTTTGTAATGTGTGTGTGTGTGTGTGTGTGTGTGTGTGTGTGTGTGTGTGTGTGTGTGTGTTCTTGCCATCACATAATTAGGATAATATTGACTGTGACAGATGTCTCAGATTTATTGACAGAATTCGATTTTTAGTCCTGTTTTGTACAGATTATCGAGCTCCTGAAATGTTTGAGATATTAAAACTATTATGCTGGTGTGATTGAAAGGTGTGAAGAAAATAAACACAAGGCTGCTAAAGTACATCTAATTGACTGAAATAAAAATCTCACTGCTCTGTTTGGCTATTAAACACTCTATTTGTGAATGAAATGATTGTCCAAAACAAAGAAAAAAAAGCATGATATTATATGATAAATTGTTAAATTATTACCGAAGTGCCTATGATACATTATAATAAGAGTGTTTCTTAAACGCCATTTCATATTTGTATACATCTACCAGTAAATGATATTAAAAGTTAAGCTCTTTATGTTGGTTTTACAACATAAAGGGTTCTGCTATTGTTACAAGCCACACATAGAGATATGTTTATATTTGGGATATTCTTAAGAGTGTATGGTGTTTGTTAAACACAATAAGCAGTACACAGATATGTGTAGGGAGTGACAGACACATCTGCTCTGCTCAGCGCACAGCACTCTAGAAAATCAAGCCCTTTCTATTGTTTCAGCACAAGCACATGGCACAGCGGTCACCCTAAAACACACCTGTGCAATAAGTTCCATGCAATTGTAATTGAATCACTGCTGTTCTGGCTTTTACAAATGTTCTTGATGCAAAGCTATGTTGCATGAACAATATAATGCATGCACAATGTGAATCTCTGTCCAATATACATGCAATGATCCACAGCATAGTGTGTCCCACTGGTAGAATTTGTGGTGTAAGACACACTTTTGTCATATCTATAATGCGTATTCTTCTAATGTGGTCTGTTGTTCTGTAATATATGGTGTGCTCTGTAAATCTTTTTTTTATATATATAAGAATTGTAGTATGCTTTGTACAGTCTGTGTCTGGCTGTCAATGATCCTCAATTTCCCCACACGCAGGATCAATAAAGTACACATATCCACCTATCTATCTTTTTTCTTAGTAAATTTACAACACCAAGGTTTTATTATAGTAACAGTCCCATTTAGTCTGCCTTCTTAAAAAAAAGAGACATTCATAAAAAACCTACTCTATCATCTATCTATCTATGTATCTATCACTTTACGTTATATGTAAATATAATTTATCACAGTTATTCTAACAAAGTGTATTTGACGGCCGCTCTACAAAATAATGACATGCACGTTGTTCATTAACTCGGTACTTATGTAAATATGTAATGTAAATACTTTATGTAAATATACTGCATACACGTAGTCATATAAGTGTGACCCTGATGTGTCAAAATAAGTAATGGAGGCTGTTTCTAAGAGTCTTACCCTTAATGACGAACAGATTTAGAAGTATTCCCAGAAGGATCATGTCGCCTGCTGCTGGACGGTGATGCTGCTGGGGAATCTCGGGGAAGCGCGTCTGGAACCCCCGGATCGGTCCGACTCAGTCCGACCCACTACATCCATACAAAAGGACCACCGTCCGACTGATAGAAATCTCCAAAACGACGTGTCCGAAAATCAATTCCAACTACAAACTTGTGCGATATCACAAGCTTTCTAATGCGTAAGAGGTGTCCGAAGAGCAGACCAATGATTTCATACAACAAACGAGGCAAAAATTACAAACTGTCAAATGCACTAGCAGTAGATGTCCGTTATACTCACGATCGGAGTCTTTCTAAAATAATCCTCGTTTTAAGCGAGAACCACCATGATAGACGCGTAACCAAAGGCGCGCGTCAGATGAGCCAGTGTGCGCATTAGTGCGCATCAGTTTATTATATGTGAGCGCGACCCCAGATGCTTGATTCCTGCTGTCCCACAGCACAATGTGCTCAATCCAGTCCTCAAACTCAGCGGCGAATTTTACATGCATCTGCCTCGCAGTGATTGGCTCGGCATTCTCAGGCGCATCCACGCAAAATCCCTGACCAGCCTTCTGGAGAGCTGGGTCGGTGCTCCTATAGGCTACACAAATTCAGCCTGCGCTGCAAGCATTTAAGTTTGCAAGTGATTCTTTCAGCAATAGTGAAATGTTGCGGCGATTAAAAAAGTGAGGTAGACAAATGTGCGCTATTAAAAATAAAGCTTTTAAAACGATCCTTTTAAGATCCAATTAGGCTACTGAATGGTTCTTAAATAGTTCATAGGTTTACCAAAGGATCAAGAACCAGTTTAGGCTGTATGCTTCCTTTGAGATTAAGAAAGTTTATTATATTAGCATATTTGCGAAAATTTAAAAAGCTTCTCCTAGGGCTGTGTAAACCCTTTTTTTTTGTTCTGTTTCAGGGGGGAAACTATACAGTTGGAGTGTAAGAGGATATTTTATAAAAATGTTTGTGATAACATAATGTATATGGATTAATTTAATTAGGCTATGTTAAAAAATATGTGACTTGAATAAACCCAGTCAATTGGGATTTCGTTTTAAAGATCACTCACAAAACAATATTTAACGGTGAAGCAATACAGAAATATGGGAACAGGCGAGACTTCATCGGGAGAGTTCACAGGGTGTTCTGTTTCAGTTTGTTTACAAAACTCCATATTGAAAAATCCCAAATGGGCGATGAACTGCATGTCCAGACCGTGGATATGAAGTTGAACACAACACTGTTAGAACTTTAGATTTTGAAGGTTAGTTGGCAGGACAACACAGAGATGCCAAGGCTATACATTTGTTCCAATTTCAGGAATTGCGAATGAAACTTTAATGAGAATTTGATTTGTCCAAGTGGTCTGACTCCAACAACTGGAGCTATAATCAGGAGGCTTATGTAGATATACACATTCGACTGATTACAGCAGTGCAACAGCCTGCGTGGTCATCTGTGTGTGTGTGTGTCTGAGACTTGCTGGGCAGACAATCATGACCATTTAACTAATCAGAGTAAATGCCATACAGAGCCATTGCCCTGATGATGTCAGAGTCGTCACTTTGAGTGCTTCCATCTGGTTGGACTTTTTAGGGGCTGGAGAGCCACACTTCACTTATTCTTTTGTCCTCTCCCATTTTCAGGCAATCTGGCCACTCTTTCTGTCCTCTTTTCAAATGTAAGATGCCGTTTTATCAACCGTTTTCAAAGATGTGAGTGGTGCTTGCCTGATGTGCAAAACTCAAGCTACTTGATAGCCTATAATGTATGCTATTGCTACCTGGAGTTTTGAATGAACAATCCCAATTAGGGCTACAGCATCAAATTTATAAGTAGGCCTAAATGTATACTAAATAGCCCACTACAAAAACACTCTTTTTATTTTTATTTTATAACTGAGTTGAAAATATAGGCCTACACTGCAGAGAATCGAATTAGTTATTTCATTTAGGCCTACATGAACTGTCTGTTCATCAGAAAGATTCAGACTTTCCATATACAAATGAGAGAGGACCAATTAGGACGAACCGATTCATTAGAATAAATCGGACTTTCCAAGAACTCTCCACATGACAGAGAGAGGACCATTTAGGACGAACCGATTCACTGGAATGAATCAAACTTTCCAACGTAACATATGAGATGTTTTTATGAAACCAATTCATTAGAATGAATCTTGAGGAGCATTTAGAACGAACCGATTCATTAGAATGAATCAGACTTTCCAATTCTACATTTGAGAGAGCGGATCCCTTAGGATGAATCGATTCACATGAAAGAATCTGACCTTCCAACGCTAAGAGAGGACCATTTAGGTGAGCGTGTCTGTTTATCTTTCTAATCAGACAACAGCAATAAAGCGTTTGGTCTCGCTAAATCGCAAAACTTTCGATGAAGTTCGCTGCTGTAAAAGCTACACTATCACAGTAGCCTAACTTGGGTCGCTACTTAGTTACTGTTGCTCTGCTCCCCAAAACTGGAATGTTTTGGGTGGTTGCCACTTGCCAGGGCATTGCTATGCGGTTACATGGTATACATTTTTGTTTTACCTCCCACAGTTCCACACTGGTTTTCTTTCCTCGATCAACACAAAGATTTTCCATTCCTTGTTCTCTGTTTCTCCTCTCCACTCATCCCTCGCTCAGCTCATCATTGCTTTACGATGGCTGTGACCTTTTCAGTGGCACTCCACTATCAGACTCTTATCTCACTGCCAGTGTAGCCGAGCGGTCATTTATGAGGTCACTTCACAGAAGTGGACATTAGCGATAATGTACTTCCAGTGACTCAGGTGTCACACTAAAGCGAAGGCCAGCGCGCGAGCGCGCGCGCACACACACTTATGCTCGGCATATAATCATCCAGCTCTGTGTACAATACATGACAGAGATGTGGACGCTGTAACAAATTAAAGTGTCCGTAGGTGGAAGAAATATTTTGCTTGATGAGAGAAGAGAAAAAAGACAATATATTTTCTTCAGAGTATTACACACACGTCACACACACACTTTCTCGATCCCACTTGGTTTGTACGCTTGTTAGTTCCACTTGAAATGGCAAATGACAAACAATCAGAGGCAGTGAAGCAGTGGCTTACCAGCTCACAGAACCAGCCAAAACAAAACAAACAAGGCAATTACTGCAATTCACACTACACCAGTTCTCCATGTTAAACACACACACGCACACACAGATAAACACAAAGGCCTTTGCAATTATAAACATTATTCTCATCTCGCGCAATCTATTTTTGACATGCAAACTAACACTACACATACATAAGCCCGCGCACGCGTACCCTTGCTCGAGCAGCGGGGATATACACGGCACATTAAAACGACTAAATCCACTGAATAAAATATTTTCTCATCTCCAAGGTTATGAAGAGAAGGTGGAGAAAATCTCCTAACTGATTTTTTATACATCACTGGCTTTGCAGGGCTTTGATAACCTGAGGCCAAAAGAGGAAGTTGGCAGATGTGTTTAGTTTACAGCCCGTTTGAATGTCTCCCTCTCGATAGAACAGCTTGATGCCTCTGTGCTACACAAACAAACACACACACACACACACACACACACACACACACACACACACACACACACACACACACACACACACACACACACACACACACACACACACACACACACACAATCATAGTCATGCTTCTTAAGTAGTTTTAGCACTATTGCTTTAGTTCATGTAATTAATTCATAGCCTATTATTAATTGCTAAACGTCTAGGCCTACTCATTTGTCAGCAGTGTTTGATGCAGTTTAAAAATGCTTACAATTTTTTTGTATCTCTCTTGCACACTCGTAGTATGGTGGCCCAGTAGTGCACAACACAACGAAATTTAAAAAGCAAACATAAGTTCACAACACAACGAAATTAAGCCACAACACAACGAAATTAAGCCACAACACAACGGAAAATGTACAACACAACGGAAATAAGCCACAACACAACGGAAAATGTACAACACAACGAAATAAGGCCGCAACACAACGGAAATGCTCCCAACCACTGGGTTCTCGGAGCGCGATAAAGTTAGTTTTCCTTGCCACTGTTCTATAGAGTCAGCACTCATTCAGCAGTCTAAAAAATATCAACACCACGATTAGTTTTAACAGTATAGCTAAACATTGTAACTACATTTATTAATTCAAAATCACCTACGTGCATTATAGCTGCATATTTACAATCTAATGCTTTGACGCGCTACCACAGCGTAACCCTAAGGGAACATCCTTCATCCTTCATCCTCCAATTCCTTCAAATTGTTTAAACGTATAATTTGTATGAATTAAAATTACTTTTAACATTCAAAAACATACATGTTTAAAATCCAAAGCTTGATTGTATTGGTAGTAGACTGACTTACTACAGCTGACTGTTTGTCCAATACCTCCCTTCATGTATTTAGCCTACAGTAAACAAATATATTTTTAGGAAATTTCTGTAAAAGTTTTTTTTTAATTTTTTTTATCAGGTTTCAAAGGTTGTAGTTCCTATTAACCTTAAAACAGGTGAAATTTTGTCAATAGCTCCCTGCATGCACAGTACACAATTTTTTTTTATAGAAACATTAGGCCTACTGTAATGTCCCAAAGCTTGTGTTAGGTTCCTAGTGACCTGACTGACTTATTACTGGTGAAATTGTGCCAATGCCTTCCTGTAATTCTGCAATTCACCTAATGTTTTATATTTTTATTCATCAAATTTTATTATAATAAATCATACGTTTTAACCACTTGGTGGAATTGCCAGACGTTCCCTTAGGGATCATGCGCTGTGGTAGCGCGTCAAAGCATTCTCTGAGTATAAATACGCTTGTGTAGGTGATTTTGAAGTATATTTTATGTCGATTTACAATGGTTACATACTGTTAAAACTAATCACGGTATTGATATATTAAGACTGCTAACTCTATAACAATGGCAAAGAAAACTAACTTTATCGCGCTCCGAGAGCCCTCTGGTGAGGAGCATTTCCGTTGTGTTGCGGCTTTATTTCGTTGTGTTGTACATTTTCCGTTGTGTTGTGGCTTATTTCCGTTGTGTTGTACATTTTTCGTTGTGTTGTGGCTAATTTCCGTTGTGTTGCGGCTTTATTTCGTTGTGTTGTACATTTTCCGTTGTGTTGTGGCTTATTTCCGTTGTGTTGTGGCTCATTTCCGTTGTGTTGTGGCTTCATTTCGTTGTGTTGTGAACTTATGTTTGCTTTTTAAATTTCGTTGTGTTGTGCACTACTGGGCCACCGTAGGTTTGATCAACGTTTTATGACTGGCGGTAGCTACATTAAAGGCCTACAATAGATAAAATGAAAGCATGCATGAACCGTGTAACAAATAAACATTTGGCAAGAGACAACTAATTCAAAATTTTATTTGTCATGGACTGTATGAGTCATTCTGAATGCAACATTTGATGAAGTCTGCTAAGTCTATCTATCTATCTA